TGGCAGCCGGGGTGTTCGTCTGAGCAGGCCTCAGCATGATTCGGAGCTGCCTCGTCGTAACCTCCCACCATCCTCTTCACCATGTCCATGGCTCGCGTCGCACTGATCTCAAAACTTGAAGCTGCAATGTGCGGAAAGATTCCGAACGCAGCAATGAGCATTTCAAGGGGCAAGGCACAACGCAAGACAAAGCAGATTGGCACAATATGACATCACAACATAACAGCTTGTAAGTCGACTTGTGTCACACGACACCATGTGGGGCTTTTTCGGCATTCTGCGATTGTCAGATTGCAGTTGCCCTTCGGCAATGAAGTTGACACGGTGCTGCCAAGCAGTAGCATGGCACACGTGCAACATGCGAAACCCGGTCGTGTCAATGCATTGCCTTGGCATCTCAACTCAGCTCAGCCACTAGCTACCAGCACAGGATGACAACTTATCGCACTGTTGCTGCCAGCAGATAACTTCCCAGGTGTGTCACCTTCCTGGTCTTCCAGCAGAGCCAGCCAACAGCACTGGCACAAGTCACCAAAAGCCAGCCCACGCGAAGTGCCGTGGAAAGAAACCGCCATCGCGCGGCCATAACTATTTTCTGCCGCAGCTGGATTTTGTCCAAGCCAGGCAGCGCAAGCTCGTGCGCAGCATGAATGATTGCTAGCACGACTTGGCTATCAAGCCCGGAGAAGCCGCTATACTCCCGGAGTCGTGTTTTGGTACGGCGCAACGTCATGACGTGACCGTGAAGGCAGCTATCGTCCCAGTCACGCTGGAGTCTGCAAGCCATTTCCACAGAGCACAACCGCAGTGGTGCATCATCCTAAGCTCCGTAGCCAACTCCAAGCCAGAAGCAAGCTACTTTCACCGACATGGCGCTGGAACAACTGTCAATGCAAGCACTCGGATTCCGAAGCCCAAGCAGCCTTGAGGACGGAGCTTGAAGCGTTTTCCTGGCATCGTCGAACAAAGGCCAGTCTCGCGTCGATTAGATCCAGCATCCTCGGTGTGCAACCGGCAGAACATGACGCACCATAACATGCGATGTGCCATGAGACGGAGGGAGTTGGGGTGAGGGAGTGAACGCAGGTTTCGATTGAATGAGCTGCTTGGAATTCCTTTGACATGCACTTGCGCTGATCCAAAGGAAGCCTGGAATAGTTGAGCACATTCCATGCTGAGATATAGAAAGGTATCGGCAAGCCATGTCAACGACAGCGATCATCACCAGCAGAGGCAGCTCGGACGAAAACAGTATCATGAACGTAGTGCTGGTGGAGATGCCACTCACGGTGGTAGCCACAAAAACGACGTTGATGAAGTTCCGTGCGACGATGACGAGAATGCCGTCGACAACAAACATAATAATGATGATGATGATGATGCGAATGATAACAATGATGATGATCGTGGTGGCGATAGTGATGGTGATAACTTTGAGTAGAGGCAGAGACTGAGTACGATGATAGTGTGATAATAGTGATGACGATGGCGACAATAATGATGAACAGTGGGATGACGATGATCATGACAATGAGGAGGTCGATGCCGGCAGACGAACGTAACGATGTAGCCAAACATGCCGATAAGGACTATGCTGGAAGGTGAGTTTTGTTGCGCTGAATATGGCGGTGATCAAGCAGCGAAAAAGCCACTGATGGAAGCAGCACCAGAAGCAGTGGAAGCAGTAGTAGTAGCAGCAGCAGT